TCCCAGAGACCGTATATCGAGCATGGTGCTCTCAGACCCATACGGTTTCTACTTGAGTCTCGTTCTAATCGGATTCTCCCGGAGAACTCTTTCTCTCTCAACCCGAATGACCCTGGCCAGGGATTTGTCTGAGCAAGAACACATGGGATATTCCTCTCATGACGCCGAGAGTGGATGATCCTCTATCAACACTCAATAGCCCTTGTAAGGTCGACTACCACTCCCAATGACCAGTTGTACTAGATCTGGGACAGCCAAATCTATAAGTCTGGTATCAAAGAGTGGAGCACTCATACAGGACATCCTTGGTGTCTCAAGTCTAAGGACCAGATACACCACTAGGACTACGGAATTGCTGTCTAACAATAAGGCATCATCAACCATCCAGCATTCCGTAAGTGGATCAATCAGTGAACTCATTCTCCAATGAGCACCTGTACTATATCCCTAGTGTCCCTACACAAGCAGCTATGAGACCAGCTACATCCATCATATGGACGAGTATATAGCACACCAGTCTATCCGGTTATCACGATGTCCCTCTCGAGTAACCTATGACCGGGATTATTTAGGATATGTGTTTAAAGGTGAATCGATCTCATTATCGTGATCTCATCACGATCCGATTCCCATTGCACAAATCCAAGGACATCACAATATATATATGCATTTATGCAATAGTTATAAAGTGATATACGCCAAAAATATAATAAGCAAAAAGATTCTGTATCAAGTCACACGTGACATCACTCACGTGATTGGCTTGTCGGGCACCTATGACTAGCACTATAGGTACACGGTAACTGAGGACAGACAGGTCCAATAGATTGGATTCCCCTGTATCGTTTGGGGACTACGGCGTCGTGGCCTAGTACATCCGTAGTCGATGAGTCAAGTGAATTATTACAGAGATAATAATTCACTGAGTTAGAAGGAGTTCTGACAGGTATGACTCACGGCCAGCTCGATATTGGGTCTAGAGGGTCACACACATATGGTAGGTATTGCGATGAGTAGAGGTTCTGATATGAGATATCCGACGGAGCCCTTGTCTTATTGGATGCAGATCCAATACCCACTAGGGGAGGACCCATTAGGGTTTGATAGGGGACCTCTATAAATAGGAGTGATTCAGAGCCTCATAGGCTAAAGCCTTTGCTTGCCTCTCCTATTCTCCTCCCCCTCTCCATCTCAGAGTAGGCATGGAGTTTTGAGGAGCTTCGTCGCAGCCTTACTGTGTGGATCACCGCTAGAGAGGAGGACGCTTGACCTCCTTCACCCTCTTCTAAAAATCTGCAAGGAAATAGGGATATACGATCTTCCTAGGTAACACAATATACTCTATACGCAGTTTTAAGTTTCACGGATTTTGCGCACCAATCTTCGCACGACGACGAACATCTTTTTGGGAATCGGGGATTTTGTTTTCTTGTTCTTCCGCTACGCATGTGATGTCACCCCCAAGATTTCCCAACAAAATCAAGCATCAGTTAGAATGTAGGTGGACTCAGAGGAGTGCCACGGAGACATATCTACTGATCGTGAAGAAAAGGGATGTAGATGCGAGGCGACGGATAGTAGGGCCATGGGCATGACAATGCCATAGTACCGTAGAGGCGGGACTTCCGTGAAAGTCATTGATCCCTTGCTCTCATGGAGGGAGAGCGCTTGGTCGTAAAAGGGGCCGAGGAGGTGGAGCATGAAGAGACAAACTCTGAGTACCGAGACAAGGCTGAAGGGCATAGGCCAATGAACTTCGTAAGATCGGTGTTAATGAGCTTCTCATCAAGATAGCCGAAAGTGAAGGACTTTGGGTCAGGCAAGAGTGCATGACCAAGGAACCAAGTAGACAGTACGCGGTGTTGTACCTTTGTTACTCAGTGGAGTAGGCGGCAGGGTTGATGGAGAAAACGGTACAATCCCAAAGGCAACCAAACCTATAAGAGAATCACTCTAAGTTGGGGTGAAAACTTCCTGCATTCTAGAAGTTCGATGGTATTGAGAAGGTGAATCACAGTAACTAACTCAATGCAAGGAGTGCAAACACTTCAAGTGCTTCAGAAGTATGAGCAAAGAGCAGGCGAAGGCTAGTAACCAGCTCGATGCATGGAGTACAACCTCGAGGAGGTGGGCGAAGTCAAGTAACCTTTGCCTTCTCAACTCTTAAGAGACTGGGTGAAACCGAGTACCCCAATTCTCTTATCTATCCAGCAGAGGAGCTCTGCACATGTTCAAAGACCCTTCGAAGATAATAGAAGACAATAGTTGTCAAATCCTCACCAACGGTGATCAGAGCTACTGAGAGTAGATTGTCTGCTTCATTTCCCAACGAACTGCCAATCGAAAACGGAAGTGATGCGAACTTACTTGGAATTGACAACTAAGTGAAAGAAGAGTCAATAGGCAAATTTTGTGGAGGAAGGACTCAAAAACTTTAGAAGTTTGCGAGACGATGCTTATTAAAGCTCCAACAAGCATCCACCCAGTTCAAGCAGCATGAGCATTTGAGAGACTGGCGCATAGTAAGGATGGTCTTTTCCTTCATCTGGAGAATCTATAAGAACCAACAGGGATTAACACAACTCAGCCAACCCCACACTAGAGTCAGAGTCATTGGCGAGTTGAACCAGCATAGCGGATCAAAGGTTCGACTACTCAAAAACAGCAGCGGAGAGCAGTTGGGAGCCAAGAGGTGAATTGCAGCTGGACCAGAAGATTGAAGACTCAGCAAAGGCGAGGAGTTGTAGTGTTGACAAAGGCTTCGACGAGGACGTCGAAGGAATAAGTAGGGGAGAATGTCACGGACAAACTTCTAAACAGAATACTTGATGTAATGTTTATGTATGTTTGTGTCTTTTGGTGTGTTTATGCTTTGTACAGCATGTAGAGGGACGGCCAAAGGCTTAAGAGTCTCATTTTAGTTAGGTTGGTGTCCGCTTTAGGCTTGTAAATAAAGGTTATGTCATGTGGACACTTGAGAGAGATTTTCGATCTATAATGGACCATTTTACCCGTTGTTGTGCAATTATTCAGAGCTTGTAAAGTCTATTTGTAATTTGCATTGTCTATGAAGTGTTTTCGAAAATGTTTGTTTGTGGATCCCGAATGAGACGTTTTCTCTAACCCGTTCTCTCTTTTGTGGGTCCTAAGGGACATAGGAGGTTGACCTTTGCAGACGGACACGCAATGGTGCCGTACGACTTAGGCAAAACTAGCTAAGTCCGTGACAATGTGTCGATCGACTCATACCCGTTTTGGCCGATGAGTTGTGTGGGTAAGATATTAAAATTTTGAACCATGATCCATATAATATAATATATGCCTCAAGATTGAATACTTATCTCTTGTTCCTTAAACTTATGGAAAAGGAACAATCAAGAGTAGGCTAAACACACATTCTATTTTCACGTATGCTTTTACGTGTGTATATTATTCCTTCCACAGTCATCAGAACATAGAATAGAGAACAAATCTACGTATAATGGATTCAGTGTTGGTACCGTGCCGGGGACGAAGTCGGGGACGTAGCTGGGCTCGTCGTGCTTCGTCATGCGAGAGCGCATGTAGGGATCGCAGGACAGGTAGAGGTTCTTGACGAGCACGGCCGTCGACCCCGACGGCACCCTCAACCGCACTGTGTCCGTCGCCACCAGCTCCATGTCGCTCTCCTTGGGCATTCTGTCCGGCGGAAGATGGTGCTTCAGCACCACCTTCCTGTTCACCATCACCTCCTCCTCCATCACCATCCCCCCCTCTCTCTCTCTCTCTCTTCAGATGATTGTAATGTGTGCTGATATGCTACGCTCTTTAAGGACCAAGGATCCTGCTACAATAGGAGAGGGCGTTTCAGATCCACTAGAAACTCGGTCAAAAGTCAAAGCCGGAAGTCAAGCAGCAAAGGATAACTTAACGTAGATTTCGTCAGGTATGAGATCCCACAGGAATCACCTGAAAACACCAGCAAAGACAAAAATGAAGGCAAAAATTCAACCTCGATACTTGCGAAAACTCGATCTTCAGTAGCTACGTGATCTTATTGCACCATATCTGGTAATTCCCATTATTCCATACTTACTTTCCATGAGAGATCACATCATGGGGTTCACATTGTCTCTGTAAAGAGCCCCACCAACCTTCCAGACATGTGGCATTCATTTTTCCGTTATTGATGGTTGGTAGGTGGTGCCATCATGATCTTCTAATTAAAATTCAAATTAAAACCTTCTAATTTTCGAATCTTGCATTGCCATGCATTGGCTTCAAGGAGGGCATGAGCATCATTATTAACATTATAGTAATAGTAGAGGTGAAAGAAAAAATAATTATATATATATATATGGGGAATAAGATGTTATGATAAATCTGCATTTAAAAAATAAGTAAATAGGATATTTTGATACTTTGTAGATGGTAAAATCTTGAAGAAAAAAAATCTGATGCAACCTGCAAAGTATCATAAAATGTATCTTCTCCCAAAAATGCAATTATGGCATTCAAAGTATCACGGTATCCATAGTTTTAAACATAATATAACAACTAACAGTAGAACAGTGTGATGTTCTGAATCTGTATCACCATTGTGTAGATGCAAATTTATACTGGTGGGAATATAAATATTTTGGTACATGCGTAACTCAGCATCCAAATGGAATCAGTCATTCATCAGAAAAGAAAATAGTAAGCCAGGATCTCAAGATTACCATCTTTATTTAGATATTGCCATAAAAAGTTTACATAAGTTATGTCCATTTTCTGACTAAAACACTCATGGCACAGACCAATACCGCAAGAACACACTAGCAGTTCTTCAGCAACAGAGATCGACACCTTGTTGATTAATCAGTCGCGTGCAACAAGGACTACCTGCTTGCCAACATTGCAACCTGTGAACAGGCCAATAAGTGCTGATGGAGCTTTCTCGATGCCTTCAGCGATGTCTTCAACATAAACCACCTTTCCGTCCCTGATAAACTGAATGACCGCTTCCAGGAACTGAGGATATAAGTGCTTGTGATCAGGCTCGATGAATCCTTGCATCTTGATGCGCTTTGTCACGATAGCGGTCATGTTGTATATGCCCTCTCGCTGAGTGAGATTGTATTGTGATATCAGTCCACAAACAGCAATTCGGCCATGCACTCTCATGTTCAACAACACAGCATCAAGCATTTTACCACCAACATTTTCGAAGTAGATGTCTATTCCATCAGGAAAGCACCTAAAAACAGAGATATATAAGCAATTCATTTATTGACCCAGCAGAAATATGAAAGCTGCAAATTAATCAAGAAATAACCCCTTACGTGCGAAATTATAGAAGATCTCCTTTAAGATCAAACAATTCCATCGAATTGAGTATGACTGTGTGTGTGATAGCATCTACTATTCCAGGAATATCAATGAATCTAATTCTTGCAATTGCTCAAGATACCTTCTTTTAACTTGTAGGTCTATTTCTTAATTCAAGATCCCTCTTACTAACTAGAATAAAAGAATTAGTTCCGCCCAACCCAACCACTTGTGTCGATTTTGGATATAGGTACCCTTTTGTTGAAGGTCGTTCGAGCTTTTCTTAGGAGTATGGCATGGGTTACTTCCGCACAGTAGCACTTGGTACTCGGACATTGGCTCGAGACATTTCTTCTACCCGATCTTACTCTAAAAAAGAAAGATCACCTTGCGTCCATGAACCAACAACCATCCTTAGGCTAACCTAGCCTCCTCTGTCTCTCGAGACTAACAAGGTGTCACGGACAAAATTATAAACGGGGTGTTCGATATAATGCTTATGTATGTCCGTGTCTTTCGGTTTTGTTTATGCTTTGCACAACATATAAAGGGCTGACAATAGGCTTAGCAGTTCCATTTTCTTGGTTTTGGTGGCCGTCCTAGGGTTGCAAACAAAGGTTGTATCATGTGGGCACTTATGGGGATTTTGGTCTATAGTGAGCCATTTTGGATCCTTTGTTGTGCGATCGTTCAGAGCTTGTAAAGTCTGTTTGTAATTTGCATTGGCTATGAAGTGCTTACTGAAATGATTACTTGTGGATCCCGAGTAAGATACTTTCTCTAACTCGTTTTCTCTTTTGTAGGTCCTAAGGGACCATAGGAGGTTTTAGGGAGGCTGACCTTTGCGGACAAATACGTAAGGGTGTCGCACGACTTAGGCAAAACCAGCTAAGTGCGTGACATATGGTATCAGAGCGGGACAAGCACTCATAGAAACACTTGGCATGCAAACATGGGGGACCTAGCCGGGCTGCATTGAGGGCAGCCAGCACGTGCGACCGTTTGGGGGAAAACGGGCATGAAAATGTAGGGAAAAGAAGTCGCTCAAAGAAGCGAGCATCTAAAATTGGTATTCAGAGGAATGACCAACCCTTCATGCAAGAGGCACCACGAGGACAAGCAAGTTTGGAAGAATGCGTAGCGCACGAAGGTTGAGATTGTTGAGTTCGAGCTACGGCTCGACGTTGGCAACCATACTTGATTTGTCTCAAGGCAAGCGAGGCGCTTGGTAAAGGATGAGACCATGCAAGGTGGAATATGTTGTTCAATGACCGAAAGAGTTGTGCTAAGCTTATAGAGGTGAGAGAAATTGCTAACGCGAAGAATTCAATACTTATGCAAAGGCTTGTATGCGAACGATGGAATATTCGTGGCCATCCCAAGACGACCGAAATTCGACGCCATGGAGCATTGAAACTTTCTCTATAGCATGAGAAGGATATGTCCATAGGAGGCTGAAGTGTGCAGCGAGTTCAGCATTTTGCTAGGCCTTGAGGGGTGCAATGAGGGCTGTATTGACATGAAGTCGCAACCTAGCAAGTGCGTTTGCGGGAGGCAGAGCAATGCACAGTTTGTTCAGCAAGGCAAAGTAGTCCAAGGGGATGGTGGTCTCTGAAACTTTCAAAGAGAAGGAAGCGAAGAGAGAAGTTGCTACAACGAGACAGATATCCAAGAGGGATAAGTCCCGACTCTCCAGAGGGAGAACCATGTGTAACGGACCGCACATGTTGAGGAGTACCTTAAAACAACTTCACAAAGCTCAACAGACCGAGCGAGTGGCGAGGAGTCGTCGTATGATCTCGCTTGAGATAATGCATTAGGGGGATGCATTGCGAGATCAAGTGGGGGGAGCGACCCACGATAATACAAGATAAAGGCACACTTAGAGTCGATATGGAGATTGGACTCAACAAAGGGCTAACCCGTGGAATGGAAGGTGTGAGGGCCACCATCAACTCAATGCAAATCGAGGAGCGGAGCAACTTAGGTGTAACTTGGCGAAGTACCCAAGCCGCATGAAGGGAGCTAGCATAGAAGATGGAACATGGAGCGGAGTCACAAAGCTTTCCTTGGACAGAGGTCAAGGACATAAACTCTTCCAGAGGCAAGAGCGGGATCATGTCGTTCCATGGGTCCTTCATTCTGATGGAGTAGACTCATCTTGCATGGTGCCAAAGACGAAGGGAGCTTTTGGGCACATGCACCTTATCTCAAAGAAGCATTTGACAGAGGAACCTAGGTGACTCAACTTGCGGAGGCGAAGTTGGGTTCAGAAGGCCTTGGCACGGGACAAGAGGACGCGAAGATGGGTACTCTTAAAGAATATGCTACAGTGCTACCATTCGAGTTGCCATGAAGGAAGCGTGCGCAGCAGATATTGTACTAGTAGGGGCAGAGGCCCAAGATCCAGATAATGATGCACCAATTTCAGCAAAGTCGGTGGACTTAAGAGCTATTAGGCGACAGACTATCCTAGAGCTGTGCTTCGTCTGAGTGTGACCTGAGAGCAGGTAGACGAAGGTTGATTGCCAAAGGAGCGAACACAATCGAAGGTGGAAGAGGCCCTGTGATGCATTGGCAGAGGCCACACATGGAGGGATCACAATCCAAGTTTATCCCACAAGGATCGAAATGTAATGGAGATATCATCAGGAGGCGATATGGTGCAGCGGATCATGGTGGAACAGTTCGTGAAAATGCGATACACATGAATTTAGTCCCACGAGGGACTATATCATACGGAGGTATGATCGGGAGCTACTGGGAGCTCTACTTCGGTGAACAACACGACGGCAAGAAAGGCTATGGATTCAAGGAGTGAATATCATGGTATTGTAGAGGCGGGTCTTCCGTGCGTGCATCGAATTTTACATCGAATAAAAGCCTTGGTCATCAGCATATGAGGGTTGTGTACCACTGAGGGAGTATACCGAATGCAAGTACTAGTGAGTCCCATGGGAGGGACTTGATCATACAGAGGTATGATCAGAGCGGCTAGAGAGTTAGACTGCTCCAGAGCTCATATTCGCTTAAGGGAGCCCGACAAGTCAAGAGGACAAGGCCGAGTAAGCGAACGTAGCTACCAAGGAAGCTAAGGAGAACAGAATCGGTACAAACCCTACAACATGATAGCAGAGGCCATGCATGGGAGTTGCAGTTTGTCTTTCCATTGACCAAGGGAAACTGCTTAGAGAACACAGAGGTGTTGAAGTAGGAGGTCGAAATGGGCGAAGAAGCGACGTTGAGTCCAAAGGGACTTAGCTACCCAAAACCAAGCATCAGTTAGAATTGAGATGTACTCGGATGAGTGCCACAGTGCCATAGAGGCAGATCTACCGATCGCGAAGAAAGGTATGCAGATGCGAGGTAATGGATAGTAGGGTCATGGGCATGGCAGCGCCATGGTACCACAAAGGCGGGACTTCCGTAAAGTCATCAATCCCTTGCTCTCATGGAGGGAGAACGCTTGGTCGTGAAAAGGGCCGAGGAAATAGAGAATATAGAGGCAAACTCCAAGTACCGAGACAAGGCTGAAGGGCAGAGGCCAGGGAACTTCGTAAGACCGGTATCAACGAGTTTCTCATCAAGATAGCTAAAAGTGAAGGACTTTGAGTCGATGCAAGAGTGCGTGACTAAAGAACGAAGCAAGCAGTGCGCGGTGCTGTACCTTTGCTGCTCAGTGGAGTAGGCGGCAGGGTTGATGGAGAAGACGATACAATCCCAGAGGTGACCAAAACTATTAGAGACTTACTCCAAGTTGGGGTGAAAACTTCCTGCATTCCAGAAGTTCGATGGCATTGAGAAGGTGAATCACAATAGCTAACTCAACGCAAGGAGTGCAAACACTTCGAGTGC